TGCTGCTGCTGCTGCTGTTTTTGTTGTTGTTGTTGTTGTTGTTGTTGTTGTTGTTGTTGGAAGAAGAAGCTTCCATGGAGTTGTTCAGTCGTTCACCATATCCGTGTCATATATCGTGTATCAGTGACCGTGGAATTGTGCAGTCGTTCACCATATCCGTGTCATATATCGTGTATCAGTGTCCGTGGAATTATGCAGTCGTTCACCATCTCCGTGTCATATATCATGTATCAGTGTCCGTGGAATTGTTCAATCGTTCACCATCTCCTTGTCATATATCATGTATCAGTGTCCGTGGAATTGTGCAGTCGTTCACCATCTCCGTGTCATATATCATGTATCAGTGTCCGTGGAATTGTTCAATCGTTCACCATCTCCGTGTCATATATCGTGTATCAGTGTCCGTGGAATTGTTCAATCGTTCACCATCTCCGTGTTATGTATCATGTATCAGTGTCCGTGGAATGGCCCATGTCTGATAAGACAAGCCCCGCACATGTACCAGCCCTTGTCTCTCTGGAGATATGATATATAAGCTAATGAAACCTGTGTGCTTAATGACTAATTATTATTAGTGGTGTGTCACATAAAGGCGGTGTGTGTATAGGCTTAACTAGCTCTATCATTAATGTATTAGCAGCAGTGAGTCGCATAAACACTATGTGTGTGTCTGAGGGTGTGTATGTGCAGGCTTGATGACTCTATTCAAAATTATTAACAATAATGTGTCAAATAAGGACTGTGTGTAGGTTTAAATACTCTCTTTGTTAACTGTGGTGTGTCACATTTTTTAAAAAACAACAACTGTGTGTGTGTGTGTGTGTGCAGACTTAATAACACACCAATGCGGTAAAATCTGTGTACAGATTACAGTGGTCAGATAATCTGTGTATATATAGGAGCAATCACATCTGTGGTGACGTCACAGCGGTCATATAATCTGTATATATATATAGGAGCAATCACATCTGTGGTGACGTCACAGCGGTCATATAATCTGTGTATATATAGGAGCAATCACATCTGTGGTGACGTCAAAGCGGTCAGATGTTTGGTGACGTCACAACAGACAGATCTGTGTACACATCGGAGTGGTCGCAACTGTGGTGACGTCACGTCGGTCAAGATTAAGTGTGTGTGCACGTCACAGTGGTCAAATCTGTGAACAACTCAATACGGTCATATCTGTGGTGACGTACTCAACGGTCAAATCTGTGTACAACTCACAACGGTCAGATCTGTGGTGACGTCACAGTGGTCAAGTCTACGTCTGTGTACACGTCACAGTGGTCAAATCTGTGTACAACTCACAGCGGTCAGATCTGTGGTGACGTCACAGCGGTCAGATCTGTGGTGACGTCACAGCGGTCAGATCTGTGGTGACGTCACAGCGGTCAGATCTGTGG